GCTCCTTTCAGAACATCTGACTGCCAGGGTCCACACCAGGGGCTGCTCTTAGAATGCATTGGAGACGGGTGTGTGGTTCCAAAAAGCAAGCGGGTGGGAAGGAGGGTTGTTCGATTTAACTAGATACTGGAGGGACCACGGAGCATAACAAATGATCTGGCAGCTGCAAATGACAGGCTATGGCAGCAAGACAGCAGATGTGACCAAAAAACTGCCGGTGGAGCAGGTATTTTTTATGGCTCAGCGCTCAGCCAGGCTGCCATGAGAGAAGAAACAATTAAGGGTCAAGGGGTTTTATGCTGCCTCTGTGAGGAGCCCTGTGGAATACAGCTGCGGGTCTCTGCATCTGGAGAGGACAGGCAGGGCAAGCCCAAGTCCCTCAGTTTAGAAGTAAGAAAACTGGCCAGTGACCTGACCCATGCAGTGGTTTGTGGGGATTCTTTAGCAACCAGATCTCCTGGACCAGATTAGGGGCTCTGGATGTGACCACAAATGGATGATGACAGGTGACATCACATGGGGACTAACACCTTTATTCAGCACGGGGCTCAACCGAGCAGTCAAGCAACTCAGAGCACCTACTGCTCTGTTAGCTGCTGGGCAAGCGCCTATGAACGGACAAAGCCATGCAGTCCCTTCCTCCTCCCAGGGAGACAAAAAGAATAAGGAAAAAAACAAAGACCATGCAAACAACAAACTACAGCTGTGGTCCTTTTGTCACTGCACCACACTTCCAGAAATGCCTCCATTCTCTGCAGGCAGGAAGGACAATTCTGTCCCCTTTTAAATAGCAACGGGAGCCCTAAAGCTCAGGACCTGCGCTTTCAGTTCCCCTTAAGGAGACACGTAGGAACAAGTAGATGTCTCCACTCAGCATTTCAAAACAGGATATAAATACTCAACCAAAAAACACATTATCTTAGAATTCCCCAGCGAAAGCTCGAAAACAAGGTAGATTAAAAAAGCTTTCAAAAAGCTGTTAGGATGAAAAATCTTTCCTTCAAACTTCAGAGAAATACTCTCATTCTCAGCATCAGAGGGAAAATGATACCCACCTGGTCTTAGTGGCTTAGCAAACTCCCTGACCCCTCACTGGGCTTAACACAGTTACTACTGGGCCAGAGAGATAGTACAGTGGGGAAGGCGCTTGCCTTGCATGTGGTTAACTCAGGTTCAATCCCTGGTACCACGTATGATCCTCTGAGCACTATCAGGAGATATTCCTGAGCACAAAGCCAGGAGTAAGCCCTAAGCACTGCTGGCTATGACCCTAAAACCAAATACTACTACTACTACTACTACTACTACAAATCACTGTTAAGAGGTTATCTCTTTCTTCAAGTTCAGGCTGTTGGCCTGATCTGTGGCTCAATGGTAAAACACCTGCATTCCATGCGTGAGGCCAGGAGTTCAATTTTAAGCACTGCAAAAATAAAGCCAAACGAATCTAGGTTGTTGCAGTGAACACACACGATACTCTCTAATGTAAGCACACACCTAGGAAACCTCCTGGAGTCAGGCATAGTCTCTTATTTTTTTCTTTTTGGTCACACCCGATGCTCAGGGGTTACTTCTGGCTCTGCACTCAGGCATCACCTGGTGATGCCGGAGATCAAACCCAGGCCAGCTGCGTGGAAGGCAAATGCCCTTGCCCACTGTACTATTGCTCCAGCCCCCCATGAACAGTCTTGAAGCTCTTTTCTAACCCATGAAAATAAGCTCTCTGGACCACAGCTGTCCCGCAACAGTCCCTGAGCGGTGCCTGGCTCATCGCACACACCCCATCTGTGCCCAGTGCATGCGTGGAGCCATGTGGAACTGCAGGAACCACATGCCACAGTCTATAGAAAGGAGGGGCTGCCTTGAAGAACTGCAGAAAAATCTTGCACTCCCCTTCTGCTCTGCGTTACAGGAAACCATTGTGTGGGCTGAAGAGGGAAATAAAAGAAGGGCGGTCTTTTCCCCAGCTTCCCTGCAGACTACAAGGTGATGTAAAAGCACAGTGGCTCCCCCCAACAGCTCTTGAGAAGTGCAAGCCTCAGGGGGCTCTACCGACACTGACGTGTAGCGTGGCTGTGTTCTGGGTCAGCATTGTCTCATAATGAGGGGCGCTCAATCGCTTGCCATGTATTTTGCAGTCTAACTAATCCCTTCTCCTTGAGCCTTTCAACCCACATGCCTTATTGTTTGCTATAGGGAGGGAGAAAAAGCTTCACCTTTGAAGCAACCTAAACCTCCTACACCTCTCTCACTTCCTCCTCTGTAGACAAAACTGACCAGTCACCACCACTGAGGACCTGGAGTCTTTCTCTGTGTTGGCACTTTGGGAGCTATCTAGGGGCCGGAGGTTTAAAGGTGAGAACAGAAGCTGTCAGTTCTCCCGCAGCAGCTCTCCCCCAGCGTCGCATCTCCATACAAGCCCGCTCACCTGCACCTTAGTTGCCTCAGGGAAGTATCTGCTCAGACTCCGTTAAGAGCCGAACTCTCCAACCTTTGTAAGGTTGACAAAAAGTGGCTAAGCTGGTGATCCTCTTTAGCTGGACCCCATGCTTGCTTTCCAGCTAAGGTGGACTCCTGCCGTCTTTTTTTTCTTTTTGGGTCACACCTGGTGATGCACAGAGGTTACTCCTGGCTCATGCACCCAGGAATTACTCCTGGCGGTGCTCGGGGGACCATATGGGCTCCGGGTCAGCCTCGTGCAAGGCAAATGCCCTACCCACTGTGCTATTGCTCCAGTCCCTCCTGCCGCCTTTCACTTCATCCAGTCGTCTTCGGGCACAGGGAACGCCGGGGCATTTGCTTTCTCCTGCCCCACCTATTGACCCATCCACCGCCACATCTCAGCCTGTTCCTTCTTCCAATTTTTCCTTCCCCAAGAAATATGAAAAGAAAAAGGCTCGACTTACACAGGCTTATGTAGAGTTCTTAGAATGTATTTTTTGTTCACCTGAAAAATAAAACTTTTAAAAAATATACAGGACTTTTTGAGTACAGGTATATCTTAAATGGCTGAGTTAGAAATAATGTCTCTGGTCATGTTCACAGCTAGAGCTGGAGCTACTTGTCCAATTCCAGTGAAGGCTTTAGAGTCGGGAGGCCACGGCCGGCCCTCCGGGGAGTCCCTCTAGACTCTCTGATCGGTCCCAAACTGGATTGACAGTCCACAATGCAGGGGTCAGCAAGGGGAGAGGGGACTAGACTCCCAGATGTTCTCCTGCAAGTTCAAAGGGTTCTTGGAATAAGAGAACAATGTACAAATTATTAAAATATAGGACTAAAAATCCACACAATAAATATAAATTACAGATTATTATTGAAGTTATAAAGTGTCATTTTTTTCTTTCCCTAAGCCCCCACCAAAGTTTTAAAAAGGCCTCAAAGGCTTTCTAATGTCCAAAGTCAAGTCAGCAGCTCAGAAATCTCAATCCAAGACACCTTGGGGGTGCTACTGGGTGGCCCCTGGGCCCTGACAGCTCAGCTGCTGCGATCTTGGTCATGATAGGGCAAGCTTAAAAGCAAGGCTGTTGCCCCATTAACTGGGATGGAGGCTAACAGACTGAGCCAAGGCCAGACCAAGGAAGAGAAAACCTTTCAGGACTCAGGTGGATTCACCGTCTCTCTCTTAAAGTGCCTCATTTCCCAAAAAGGAAACAGTAAGGGGTTGGTATCTTGTCACTACCCACATTCAACTGTCTAAAAGCAAGTGGAAGAGGGAAATGGAATCCAAATTCAGGAGGTGTAATTCTTGATCCCCCCACCCCCATAGCTATTCATGTCATTTTCCACCTCAATAAAAGTAGAGGCAGATCAAAGTCAGGTTTGTCATGAGAGGGAGAGTCCCACCAGTCCAACCTTCCCAGGGCTAGCCGATTCATTGGCCAATCCTGAGTTTGAAGACTACCTTTCTGCCTCTCCTATAGTACAACTCAAAACTGCTGAAAAATGTGCTCAAAGCTTCACAACACATTTCATCTGAATTGCAGGCCTCCAGTGTCACTGCAGGACAAGGGAATGACAAGAGAGCGGGCAGAAGGGCTGCAAGGTGATTGCAGAACTAGAGATCTGGGGGATGGGGGGGAGAGAGTTTTAAAAAAAAAAAAACCACCACTTGCAAAATCACTCTACTTAGAAAAGCTCGCTCTTCCCAGAACTCAGAGAAGGCCCAAGCTCAAAGCACAGACACACTGGCTTTCCCTTCCTTCTTTCCTGGCCCACAGCCAGGTACCCCAAGAAGCCTGTGTGTGTGTGTGGGGGGGGGTCCTCTGGTGGGAAGAGGCACCATCAGCCCATTCCCCTCCCTCAATGGCTTCAACACTCTCCTAAGGTCCTTCCAACGAGTCTAAGATTATACTCTTCTGGGCTACGACCCTACCTCCTAACTGACATAGGAGTGGGATTAGGAAAAGAAGTGGGGGTGTGGGGTGGGGGGAAAAAAGTGTTTGTGCCCTTCTGGCTAGCTGCACTTTGGGGGCCAGCAAATAGCCCTCACCTGACCCCATCAGTCAGTAGCTACCCAGGGTGTGGTAGGATACATATATTCTAGGTAATTTTAGCTTCTATAGAGTGCATATGTCAACAACTATATACAGGGACCTATAAATTAAATGCATCTGTTGCCACTGCAACTAGGTGGACGTACCTGAGCTCCACTACTTTTGGTGCCCTCCTAGCAAGAGAGCTTCGGCTTCACACGGAAAAGCCCCTACAGCTCGTTCCCCTGAGTCTCGGAGGGGGTGGGAAGCCCGAGTCACCCCTCCACGTCGGATACACCCGAGCAGCGAGCGGCGCCAGGGGTCTCCCGCGCCTCCCCCCACTCCCCCGCGGCGCAGCACGGTCCTGGGAAGACCCGAAGCCCCGGCGCCTCGTGGTCCCTCGGCTGGAGATCCGCGCTGCAGGCTACTCGCCCCCCAGGGCGAGCTGGCGACCGTCGGTGCGGAGCGCGGTGCTGGTGGGGGCGGGGGGCGGCGATCACTCCCGCGGCCCCCGCCCCGCCCGCCCCGCAGCCAAGTCCTGCCTCCGGGCGAGCGGTGGAGACGGGGAGCAGGGCCGGGGGGCTTCAGCGACTCCCGGGCGCCGCCGCCGCCGCTCCGTCCGCGTCCTCCTCGGCGCCGCGCGGCCGCTCCAGCGGCCCGGCCGGGGGTCCGTCGGCGGGGGCCGCGGGGGGCGCCGGCCGCGCCGCCTGCAGCGGGGGCGCGTCGCGCGGCGCCTCGCGGCGGGACGGCCCCGTGGCGTTGGGCTCGGCCGCCCCCGAAGTCCCGGCCGGGCCGGTGGCGTTGGAGGCGCCGCCGGGGGGCGGGCCGGCGAGTCCCGCCGACGTGCCCGCGCCCACCGGCTGCCAGATGAGGCTGTAGTAGACGGCGAGCACGATGGCGGCCAGGGACACGGAGAGCACGTAGGCGAACACGGTGGCGAGCCGGACCCACTTCTTGTTGGTCTTGGCCGCCATCTTCGCCTTCTTGTCCCCGGTGTAGGTGGCCGGCTTGCCCCGCTCGGCCGGGCCCGCGTCGCGCTCCTTCATGGGGGGGCCCCGGCCTTTGCCCCGGTGCTCCACGGCCCCGGCTGGAGGGGGCCTGGCGGCCCGCGAGCACTGAGCACGGGGCGGCCCGCGCGGCGCCGCTCGCTCGCTCGCTCCGCGGCCGCTCCGCCGCGCCTCACGACGCCCGCCCGCAGCCCGCCAGCGCGTCGCCGCCGCCGCCGCCGCCGGGGCCTGGGCCCGTCACCGCCGCCAGCGCCGCCGCCGCCGCCGGCCCGTCAGCTGCTTCCCCGCCGCCGCCACAGCCGCCACAGCCGCCCGGCTCAGCGTCCCCATCCGCCGCCGCCGCCGCCGCCGCCCGCCGGCCGCCCGCTCTCCAGTGGCCGCCGCGCCGACCGCGCGCTCCGCTCCAGCTGGGCTCCCCCGCCTCGCGCGCCGGCTCCGGGGGAGCGGGAGGCCCGCCTCTTAAAAGGGCGACGCCGCGGTCCGGAAGTGCGGCGCGGGGAGGCGGGCCGCGGCCCCCGGGACGCCCCGTCAGGACAGAGTTAAAGGAGGCCGGTTCTTAAAGCGGCGACGCCCCGCGTGGCCCCGCGCGGGCTGCGCGGCGCGCGCCGGAGCCGAGCCCCGGGCGCTTCTTTAAAAGGGGAAGGAAAAAAAGGCGTCGTTGGGGGGCGGAGTGCGGAGCCGGGGGCGGGGCGCCGAGCTGTCAACGCGGGCACCGCCCCCGATCGCCCTGGTGGTCGCGTGTGGCCCGGAGGGAACGGGCCGCAGCGACTGACGCCCTCCCCCCTTCCCCAGGCCTCAGTTTACCTCCCCCCAAGAGGAGAGAGGATGCCACGCTCGTGCTCTCGGCGCGCGCCCCGCTCCAGGTACCCTCCCGGCGGGTCCTCCAGGTAGGTGGCTTCACACCTAACGAGTCTCGTCGGCTTTCGGGGTGGACGAGGAGGAGGCTGGAGACCGCACTGGGGTCGCCAGGGGCGTGTTCCTGCTCCCCTCCCTCCTTCCCCCCTGCCAGTCCCAGCTCTCGGCTTCGTTGCGGGGTGCTGCTGAAATCTTGCCTACATCTGTCTGCCCTCTTAAGGGGCGATTTGAGTCAAATCGCCCTGATCTGCCAGGGCTTGCAAGACAGACACGTGCTCAGCAGGTTAACCTGACTCTCCTCCCGCCTTAGTTCCAAAGTTCGCGACAGCCCCAGGTGGGGATCGAGGGAGATGCTTCGGTTTGGGCCGAACAGGGACCGAGGACGGGGCGGAGCTGAGCCGACGGAGCGAGCCTCCCAGCTCGCTCTCTCTCTGAGGACCGCCGCGGCTGCTGTCGCCCCTTCTCCTGCCCAGTTGAAGTGCGTGCTTAAGGCTCTTCTCCGAGCGGATCTCAGTAGCTGCCCTCTCCGTGCCAACCCCCGGCTTCCTCCTTCCCTCTCCCCTCGCCGTCACTCCCCCCACCCCCCACCCATTCGCTCTCCAGAATTTCTAGTTCCCTCCTGCCTGAATTCTACTTCCTGTGTTCCCAGAGCTGGGCGTGCAGCCCGTCTGGGTGTTTCAGTGGTTGTGGGAGGCTGTGCCTGGCTGCGGGAGTGTGTGCAGGCAGAGGACCGTGGTCGTGGTGGGGTTCTGTGAGTGAACCACCTCCTGCCTCTGTCCCGGGTGTGGACCTGAAACTGTCTGTCCGCTGGCTCTGAGGCATGACGCTCTCAAGCCATTCCATTTATCTATCTCCTTTAGCTTCCAACCTAATACTCACTGGGGAGGACCCCCATCACCAATACTGTGCCTCCCCCACCCCAACCACGCAGGGGAAAGCAGCCTTTTTTTTTCTGAGTGTGCTCCAGAAAAAAAAAATCACTCTGCTCCTAGTCTTCCCCTTGTCATTGTCAATACTATTTTAATTGGGGGGAGATTTGCACACATGCCCAGCTATGATGTGTGTGTGTGCGTGCGGGGGTCACAATCAGGTCACCCTTTCCTGAGCACTGCACTACTTTAGTTGTAGTTGCTTGCACAGTGCTCACCAGGGCTCCAAGTCATGGGCATGGTGCTCACTGAGGTCACCAAGGGGCTAGAGCCACACTTCCTGGCTGTGACGCTTGCTCATCTTTTTAGTTGTGATGCTCACGGTTATTTGGGGGGCAGGGAGCCCCCAGACTCTTTGTGGTGCTGAGGATTGAACCCAAGGGCTCCTGTGTGTAAAACATGTGTTCTCTCCTATCAGCATTTCCCAGCCCCTCACATTCTTTTCTATCCCTGTCAAAGAGCCTCTGAAGAGTTGCTCTGGAGGGCTGCTTCTGGGCCATCCAGCTGGTAGTTCAGTGTTAGGACCCAAGGATGTGTTGCTGCTTGGGCTCTGTGGTGCCGGGGACCACCTGGGCCACTCTGGTACTCCTCGGGGGCCTCCAGGGCACACCTGGTGATGTTTGGGAAACCACATGATACTAGGGGTCACGCGAGGTTTGGGCACATGACATGTCTGTGCCTTAAATCCTGTACTATCTTCCTCACATCTCATTCTTTTTTGGGGGGGTGGGTCACTCCCAGCTATGGACACCTGGCTGTGCTCAGGATTTACTCTGCACTCAGGGATCAGTCCTGGCAGGGCTCAGGGGACCATATGGGATACTGGTACCAAATCCAGTTTGGCTGCATGTAAGGCAAGCACCCTACCCACTGTCACTCCAACCCCTCATTCTTTTTTTTTTGTTTGTTTGTTTTGTTTTTGGGTCTCACCCAGCGTTGTACAGGGGTTACTCCTGGCTCTGCACTCAGGAATTATTCCTGGCAGTGCTCGGGCAACAATATGGGATGACAGGGATAGGACCCGGGTCAGCCACGTGCAAGGCAAATGCCCTACCCACTGTGCTATCGCTCTAGCCCCTCAACCCCTCATTCTTTTTTGAAAGGGGTTGAGAGGACCACAAAATGTGGTCCTCGGGGCTTACTCCTGGCTCTGTATTCAGGAATCACTCCTAGTGGGTTCAGGGGAACACTTGGTGTGCCGGGGATCCAACCCAGGTCGCTGAGTGCAAGGCAAATGCCCTATCACCTGTACTATCTCTCTTGGACCCTGCCTCACTCTCATTCTTGAGGCTCTGACATGAGGCTGTCACTCTCAGTGGCCAATCAGGAGCAGCCTTTTATTTTCTGAAATCATTTGAGTACATTCTTGGTACAGGCTGATGGAGAAAAGACAACCACTCATTCCGCACTTGGCTCCTGGGTTCGCCAGAGCTGCCTGTCGAGCTGAAACCCCATATTATCTCAGGATGTTGTCTTCTCTTCTCTCTGGCCTTCTTGGCAGGTCTGATCAGACCAACTGCACCAACCCGAATTGTTCTCCAAGATCCCAGGTTAAGGCCATCTCAAAGCCTCCTCCCATCCTCATTCTCCGATGCACTGTGTTCCTTCTGTTGCAAATTAAACTTCTCGCATTTTCCCCAGTGGAGCCCAAGGAAAACAGCCTGTCACTTTTCTATACTCCAGAATAATATACTTGAAGTCTCTATTGAATTTCTCTTACCCTATTCTTCTGCAAACCAAACAGTGCCAGATTCTTTAACCTGTCATCAATAAACCCTATTTATTATCTGGATTTGCATAGTGTCTTTTACCCTAGGAACTCCAAGTGCTTTCAGATATAATTGAGCCCGATCTCCCTGGTGCCTGAGCCATTAAGAGACCATTAGTGTACTATTCCTGTTGCAGACAACTAAATGGCCCCCTAGTGGCCTGAAAGTGAATATGCTCCTCTAAGTGCCTCCCCTCCTTCCGGTCCCCGCCTCCCCCCCCCACCCCCCCCCCCCCCACACACCCGGGGTAGGGCGAATCAGAGAATCAAAGCAGCTTGGGGACAGAGTGGGCCCCAAGGTTCACTTTTTTGTAGATGCTACCACAGTCCCTAGAACCTCCTCCACCACATCCTTATGGTGCTCTCTCCAGAGTCAGTGAGCTAGCCCCACCACACCGCCTGTCCCCCCTCCCCCCCACAGTGGTGTTCCTTTTTGATGGTTCCCTAAAGGTGACTGTTTTTATTGAGGCTCTGGCAAGTTCTAACCTCTTAGAACAGCAATGACATCCAGGAATGATGCTAAGCACTTAAGCACTCACATTTCTTGATTTCTTTTGTCATTCTTCTTTGTTACCTTCTTCTTCTTCTTCTTTTTTTTTTTACTTTTTGGGTCACACCCAGCTATGCATAGGGGTAATTCCTGGCTCTGCACTTAGGAATTACTCCTGGCACTGCTTGGGGGACCATATGGGATGCTGGGAATCGAACCCAGGTCAGCCGCATGCAAAGCAAACGCCCTACCCGCTGTGCTATTGCTCTAGCCCCTAACCTACATTTTTTAAGACATGGAGAAATTATCTCCATCTCTAAAGGCGCTTCGAAAAAGGAAGTTGCAAGTCATGTAGCTAGGAGGACTCAGACCTGAGTCTTTCTGACTCCCGGCCACGAACTTTTCATCCCTGCTTCATGGGGTCTCACAGCAGAAGTTGAATTTGCCTCTTTAGCAGGGGCTGTTGTGGGCAGGAGAGAGCACTGGCCTGCAGCTGTCACTGTCCACGGGAATTGCTTTCGGTTGCCAGAGGCAGCTGCGCTCTTTCCTGGCTCCTGAGACCAACAAATAGGGCAACTTGCATCCAGCTCAAGCCAGAGATTTGCAAGTACCTGCTAAGAAAGGATGGGGGCTAACCCCCCCCCCCACCTCCTGCTCCCAAGAGCAGCAAGTAGCAGAGGTGACCAATAGGTGGGGTGGGGAGAGGGGTGCATACTGAGTTGCATAAAGGAGAATTTATTGATAAGGGAGCATTCTCCTATGAAACAGGATTTAACAAGGTAAGAAATAGGATCATGGGGAGGGGTCCTAGGAGAGAGGAGAAAGAAAGACCAAGACCGCCCAAGTGAAATGGAAATGCCAAGAGAAGCATGGTCAGAGTTAGAGAAGTGGGCCTGTATCCTGGGTTTTCCAGGAAAGGTTGGAAAAATACAGGGGCTTATTCTGGGCTCTGTGCTCAGGGATCACTTCTGGCAGTGTTGTCAAGGGACTATATGTGAATTCTTTGAGGCATACGCTGTACCCCTGAACCACATCTGTGGCCCTGCACAAAATTTTTTTAAAGTCATGTATTTATTCAACTATAATTTATTAAAATTGTTTACTGTTTTATTAAAACAGTAGGCTGACCTTTCTTTCCTCCCACCATCTCCTTCCCCTATCCTCTGCACTCCACCATTTTCTTTCTTTTTTTTTTCCTTTTGGGTAGCACCCATTGATGCTCAGAGGTTACTCCTGGCTCTGCACTCAGGAATTACTCCTGGCGGTGTTTGGGGGACCATATGGGATGCTGGGAATCGAACCAAAGTCAGCCACATGCAAAGCAAACGTCCAACCTGCTGTGCTATGGCTTCAGCCCCCACCCCACCATTTTCAGAGTTAACTCAGAACAATTTGGGGACCACT